TCGACCCACTTATAAAGTCGAGTATGCAATGCATCATATTAGCTATGAATGTACAATTTCAGTATCTAAAGAGGTTGAACCAGATTGTTTAATTAACAATGAATTCTACTATGATTTCAGAAATGGTGATTTCAGGGAACTGAATAATTATTTATCATTAATAGATTGGGATGACTGCATTGGTACCAGTACCAACAGCATTAATGTGGATGTAGCAGCTGATATTTTATCCACTGGCATAGCTTATTTTATTCCTCTCAAAAAGTACAAAACTTTTTCTTTTCCCAAATGGTTTTCTGCCGATCTTCATCATTTGACACTTCACTTAGATTTTCTCAGTTACGTTCAGACTGCAAAAAACTTTCTGACGTGCTTGCAAAATTATATCAGTGGATCGGATTTAAATCTCAGACATGATCCAAAATCTTTTTGGGGGTATATTAATAACAAAAGATCATGTCATAATTTGCCCAGTACTTTGTCACATGGAAATCAGTCAGCATGTAATGGTCAAGAAATAGCTAACCTATTTAAAGAATTCTTTCAAACAGTTAACTCAAAAAATCAACATTTACAACACCTAACACCCGATACTCATGACAATAATATACTTAAGTAATAACATACAGTGCTAAGAGATCTCAAAAAATCTCTGGGCAAATAAACTAACTTCTGGTCCTGATGGTATACCGGATTTTGTATTAAAACAATGTGTATGTGCCATCGTGTCACCTCTGCAAATTATATACAATAAATCACTCCAATCATCGATTTATCCTGAAATCTGGAAGGTTAGTAATATTGTGCCCATCTTCAAAAGTTGTAGTAAAGATAACATCATAGACAATTATAGAAGAGCGTCTGTATGCAATCTGCTATTCCTAAGCTATTCGACTGTCTTGTAGGTAAGTAATTAACATAGATGGCTGAAGTACTAATTACAGACATTCAACATGATTTCTTACAAAACAAGTCCACTGCTACAAATCTATTAACTTACCAGTCAGACCTCCTACAAAACATGGAAAACGGAACACAAACAGACGCCATATGTACTTTTCAAAAGCTTTCGATGGAGTTGATCACAGGATTCTATTACGAAAGCTTCAACACTTGTGCTTCAATTTTAGTTTAGTTTTATGGTTTGAAAGTTTTCTAACAAATCGCACTCAGCATGTTAAGATAGGGTGTTTTCACTCAGAATCCATTTCGGTTTCATCAGGAGTCCCTCAAGGAGGTCATTGTTCACCACTTTTATTCAACATTTTTACTAATGATATACCAGACTGCTTTATAAATAGTAAGTGTACTGCATTTGCAGATGACCTTAAACTGTAGAGAACCGTTGAAAGTATTGGTGACCAAAAATTTTTGCAAGCAGACCTAGACCGCCTTTCAGATTGGTGTGCAACAAATAAATTATTTTTATGTCCGCAAATGTCTTTATAAGTTTTACCCGCAACGCTGGAAGATTCCAGTCAGTCTATCATATCCATGATCAGTCATTAGAATGTGTTACATCTGTTAGGGATTTAGGTCTCATGAAAAGTTGACATTCGTGGAACACATCAATAATGTTTCTGTTAAGGATGCTAAAATGTTTGGCTTTATAATGAGTAATTGCAAATACTTTTCTCTTGATGCTACAAAAATGGTCTACTGCACTTTGGTCCGGTCAATATTGAAATATTTTACCAAATTGATTCCCAAATATTAGAGCGAGTTCAACATAGGTTCCTGAGAGTTTGTGCATTCAAAAGTGGCATTCCTATTAATGATCATGATTATAATGCTTTTCAGATATTATTGGCGTAGCATTATTCATGGAAATTTGCCAGGTTGACTCTCGTATAATACCGACATTTGATGACAAAGTATTTTTTAAACTTGAGGGTTATAAAACAGAAAGCCGAGTTGCCAGAATGTGTAAAATATCTGAGTAAATTCAATTCCAAAATATTTTTCCAAATTAATTTTAGAAAAATTGGGTACGTAGTAAGATTATTAATTTATTTAAAATCAAATAAATCGAACGTACCATAACAGTAAGCTTAACAGCATAAATATGTTTTCGCAGTAACCTTTCCTTTTGGGTTTGGTCGAGTTTGGTCTAACAAAAATATTGGTTGTTGGTTGTAAGAAATGACTTTACATCTATTTTTAAACTATACCTACCCCAAGTATATCTGGGTCCCTATTCTTGAAACAGGGGAACAAAGTTCCCAGGAGAACGAGTGTTCCGTCTTTCTCAATTATATGCAAATGATAATATAAGTAACAAAGACGGAACACTCATTCTCCTGGGAACGTTGCTCCCCTGCTTCAAAAATAAGGACCCTGGTAATTGGGCTTCAATTATTATTCCCTGAAGAACCTCTGGTTTGCGTTTCCCGAAATAGCCGTAACATTTTATCATTTCCTATTTCCCTTATTTTCTCTTGAGAAATTATTTTGGGCATCTTGAATATGAAATAAATTTGACAATGCCGAATTTTGAAAAATGTCAATGGAATAGTAAGGTGCCGTTTATATATTGCACTATTAAAAAATATATTGACAAATGTGTCAAATTTGATTGGCCAGATAGGCCAGAGAATTTTAATACTGCGACACTTACGAAATTATGTGAAACACACTTAAAACTGTCTGGAATTTGACCTTTACTGTCATTATTATACGAGGGTCAACCTGCCAAATTTCCATGGATAATGCTACGCCAAAATATCTGAAAGACAAATACAGTGACATAGAACAATAGCTGATGTTAACTCCTTTGAGCAAACGTAGGGATATGTTTGGTTGTATTTTTGTTTTTAAGATTATCAATGGTCTAATAGATTGTCATGTTCTCTTAAGTCAGATCCAGCTCAGAGTGCCATATTATCAGGGACTTGACACCATTGTGCCTTTAATGTTCCTTACCATAGAACCAGTTATAGAAATAATGGTCCTTTGAATAGGTAGGTATATAAATACTGTTAATAAATTAGATATAGATATATTTAACACATCACTCAGTCTGTTTAGAAAGTCATTGTTTATCAATTAAGTCACTGGCGTAGCCAGGGGGGGGGCAAGGGGGCATTTGCCCCCCCCAAGACCCTTACATTTTATGAATATTTCTTCAAAATTAAGATAAACAGTCCCAAAAATAGCGTAAAGAAACCTGAAAAAGGGGCGTGGCACCCAAAAATTTCGCGCCTGCGACGCTAAGCCTCCGGCAGCCGTCGCGGTAGGGCCGCAAAAGACGCTTCCTGCAAATTTGCCCCCCCCAAGACAAAATCCTGGCTACGCCACTGAATTAGGTTGATTTTTCTTCTGTTTGTTATGTCATATTTAGATTAAGACTTAATGTGCGTGAACGTGAATGTAATTTTTTGAAAATTATATTTTACATGCTGACACTGGACGACGTGGAGCTTTCCCAATAACAATTTGCAAGAATCAAGAGATGGGTATGCACACTCTTATTTCTAATACTTGCATTGTTTCAATTCAACCAGTGATTGTTTTTATTCAACAAATATGCATAGGAAAGACAAAAGTTACGAGCAAACCAGAAATATCTATCTTTTTTCTTTCTGGAATACATTTATTATAAATGCCAAAAACATTCATAAAATATGTTGCCAAAATAAATTTGATTTCTTCCACATATATGAGAATATCAAGTAGAAATTGCCTCCTATTCCGCCGAGGCAATCTGACCTCTCCGGGAAGTATAGTGGCTAGCTGCTGTCCAAATCGTTAAATCACAGCCAAAACGGTTTGTGTAATTTACCGTGAAATTAAGAGTCATATTACAGGCCCGTCACGGCGAATCTGCCATTGTATGGTTTTATGCGAAACGTCCCTATATAAAGTTCAGGACCTGGGGGATAGCTTTTGTTTTTAATCCCTTTTGTGGCCTGAGGTCAATACGGTGTTTAATCACATTTGAGAATGTTCGAGAGTTGTTCCTAGTCCTAGCTATGCAAAATATAACGAACGAGAACAGCTACGGAGGGAGAATAGGGGAAAAATTAAATTATCCGAACCCGACACGAAAAAAGTTATTTTCCCACTAACGATCGAGGTCGTTTCAGCATTCAGGTGTTGCTGCCGAGGATTATCGATGAGTCCGACCTTTAAACAACCGCACGTGATACGAATGCGAAATGCAAAAGAATGCACCGTGATCAGATTTTTCATTATTTTCCACAATTGAGTAGAACGCCTTTCTCGAAAATTGCGAAACGAACTTATTTTCAATGAGTTTTTTTTTACACTTTTAAATGTCTGTGTGCCGGCAGATAAATGGCGAACGTCGTACAGGGTGTTTCTCAATCATGCTCACCTATATTGTGTTGGCATAAAGTTTTTCATTTTTCAGCTTTCTAAATTCCAATAATTTCATTTATTCTATCCAATTATTTCTTAACAACATGAACTATAATACTGCAAATTCGTCATTCTCTTGAAATTCAATATGAACTTTTCCATCCAGAATGCTGGAATGCTCCTTGTGGTATGAATTCTTAGATTCTGATAGGTATATTCGTAAAAATTATCATTCGATGTGGTAAATTATTTCCGCAGCTATTTGACAGCTGAAAGGAACCTTCGATAATCGATAAGTTATTATGTTACAGGTTTATGTTTCTCTTTGACCATTCATTAACTTCTCTAAAATCAATAAATTTGTTAACATGAAGCTTTTTTCTAAAACTTTTCTAATAGACATAGCAGACTCATTCACCTTTCTTCAGGTCTAGGGCAGTTAGGTTTGTCCCCCATTTGCCATTTCACCGTCTCAAGCAGTAGCTAACAAAAACTAACCTCAAATAAATCGTTACCCGATTTAACGAGACTTTTTCCGCTGAAAAAAAAACCTCTTACCTTGTCTCTTGGACACGTTAACAAATGTCTTGAGAAGTTAAGCGTAATTTGAGACTAAACTTTCAGTATCAGGTGGAGATTTTATAATTTTGTAAATTAATGTGAATTTTCTTTTTTTACAGACGGAGCTATCGCATAATTTGCAACAGTTGTCAGAAAGAGCGAAATCTACAACGGAGTTTATTCAGAGACTAAAAGGGATGAGTGATAAAGTAAATGTAAGTATTGAAACTCTTCTAAAATCTGAAGTTATTATATCTTATCCTTACGAGCGTGCGAAAAAGTGCATTTTAGGTCATGGAAGTACCTACCACTTTTCCGCACTAATGCGGAAAAATAATACATGCTGGGTCACCCCTGAGTACTTTCTTATCATTGAATTAAATGTGGAACTAAAAGCCGTAAATCAAATTTAGATACCTACCTACTTTCAAAATTTTGACAAACCTTTTTTTTTTCTCTTTTATTCAATCCAATATCAATCTCTTAGATTCACCAAAGAAAGCACTTAGGTACTTATATTTCTTTTATTTTAAGCTCAAAACGTCCCTTAACAAATCTTTTTTGTTGCAAAGGCCATCAAACTCATTACCAAGAAAGAACAAAAAACTGTTTTGAGAATAAGGAAACGGGGTGGGTCCTTGTACATTTCCTTTTGTTATCTGTTCTCGTCTTATCCTTATCCTTTTTGGCTTAAAGTGATAAACTCGTTTACTTTAAGGGAGAAACCATAAAAATATTATTGTTCCGGGGGCTCTGTATAAAAAATAAATGGGGGATGAAAAAAATGGGCTCGAGAACGTATTCCATTTACCGAAAAATCCCTTCCAAATAAAAAGTATCTGATATGTTTCTATTATTCACAGATTAGAGCTTGAAAAAACAAGTTCATTGTAGATTCCAAATGAAGTACCTATATAGCCTTTTTCCAATAAAAACAACCCTCCTATTGACGGGTCAGTCCTCTTGTGTGCTTAATTACAAAACTTTCGAAAAAGCAATAAAGTGGCCGTCATTAGTTTAAAGGCTTTGATGACCGGGAGATAAAAGAGTCACCGTGGACAAACAAAAAACTTTAAACATGGTTCGGAAATATCGTTATTTTTTTGGCCCAATAAATCCACTCACTTCAATTCAACCTTCCCTCCATTTCGGAGTTTCATATTATTTATTTTGCTTTGGGACATCTAAAAGTATCAGAAGGCATTTCCGGAAAGGGAATTGTCGGAAATTTGAAACTGTAGCGCATAGATGGATTCCGAGCCAACGGCAAAGTTGAAATTTATTTGTATGCGGCGGAAATATTATATTAAGTGCCTGCGTAACTACCTATTTGATGGAAAATAATTAAAAAACGATTATCTCTATGTGAGTTAAATAACTGGAATGCCAATGTCTATTTTTAAAAAATATTATTTATTGCGAAAATTACATAGATTAAAAAGCATAGAGCGAAAGCTTCAGACTGACTGAATCGAAGCGACGTGGAAACTAGTTTTTTATCTTTTTTCTTGCTGAATGTGCAGAACGTTGACTTGGATTTTACGTGGTATTATAAGGGTAGATGGTCACATGATTCCTCCCTCGTAAAATTCAACTTCGAGGGTTAGCGTGGAAGTTGAACCTCTGAAAGTTAAGTGGCTGGTGCTTCTTGGTTTCTTTTCTTGATGCATCTTGGAACGATAAACTACTTGAAGCAGATATAGATTACTGTAAAAATCAATAATGATAAACATATAGTAGCCTGGGGTGATTTTCTTGCAGGGGTTGTTCTTGAATGTGTAGTACAACTCAGTTTTTAATAAATATTTGTTACGCGGTATTATCGAATGTGATACCACAAGAGGTTTCAGGATTACCGGATAATACTTTTACCTGTCACGAAACGTGTTACGCAGCAACACCACCACTCCGAAAGAGGAGTGGTGTTGCTGGTAACGCTTTGAGTGTCAGGTAAAAGTATTAGGTAATCCGGAAACATCGAGGGGTATTCAAAAGGTTATGCAACGAACTAAACATCAATACTTTATTAATTTTTATTATTATTATTAACAAATGAACAGTATTGCCACCAAGCGCGATAATCCCAAAAGGCTTATCACTTGTTAAGCCTCTCGTGTCATATGGGAATAATGTACAGTGAGTTGTATAATTGCCTTAAACTGACTCTCAATAAAGGTAGGCACAAGAAAATAGGTGATAATAATTTAGGTGGAATTGATGCATAATTGGGATTTTAAGAACATAGGTTGTTCAAGGTATAACCGTTGTATAACATTCAATATCTATCAAAATTTGAAAAATAAAAGTGTTTTGTAAAGTTACTTTCAAAGACAATGTTCTTTTAACCAAATGTTCAATTTTAACAAGTTCTTTATACAAATCATTTGTTTGCATTATACTAGGGTGCATCATATTTAATCAAGAAAAAGAAATAGAGTTTTCGCCATCTTGCAAAAGCGCATTGACTATTTCATAGAGATTTAGTCAGCTGGTTTCAAGTAGTCTTTAATAATGATGGCATGAGCTTGGCTATGTTTGATATATAGGTATACATTTCATTTATTTTGTTCTTCAAAGTTTTTTCATGTGTCGACATTTTATGAACAGTTTCATTGAATTGTTTTACAATTTTTAAAGAAATCGCGTTTTTCTGGTTGATGTTGCTCGCTAATTTTTCTTGATTACTCTGCAATTGATTTACTAGCTTATCGTATCTTTCGCCATCCGATGCGTCTAAATTACCACTTATTGATTCAAATATTGATCCTAGTCCATCTGTTAATTTCTTGAAAGGGTTCGCGGTTTTTTGTCTAATATGTTTTTCACATGAATTTCTTGTTCGGGTTCAAAGTTATTAGGGTCATCACGGTCTTTGTTTAATCGTTCTATCAATGTATTTTTCTGTTGGCTACTCATTGATTTGAGAATGTTATAATTTGGATTTTTCCTTATGATTTTCTACGTAATCGTTGATTAGTAGGTAGTTGATCGATTTGGATTTGGATGTCAAATTACCCGAAACATAGCCATTCATGATATCAATGAGTCTAAATTTTGTTGCGGAGTGTATGGTATGATTTTAGACTAATATTCCGTAAATCATTTTTAGGTGACCTGGTGTTTTAAGAAATCCCCATGTATTTAGAATTCTTAAATTTTCTAAAATTGTTGAGTGGAATCTTTCAACGGTACCGTTTGAATATGGGTGATTTGGGCAAATAAAATGAACTTTAATTTTGTGTAAACCAAGTAATTCAGTAATCAAGAGATTTTTAAATTGTCTGCCATTGTCTGCAATAATTTGTTTTGGGATGGAATGATGTGAAAAGTAATTCAATATGTTTGGGCATACTTAGAAAAGCTGTCGACGATGGTTAAAAACTTGTTTTTTCCCACTGTAAAATCATCCATGTGGACAAATTCAAATGGTCTATTAGCAGTGGGTGTTACGTTCATTTTCACTTTTACGGGATTTCTTCTGTATTTACATTGTTAACATATCTCACAAGTATTTATATAACTTTGTACTGAATTTTTCTAGTGAGGCCAATAATACTTTGATTTAATTTGTCTTTCAGTTTCTTCAATCCGTCTATGATTGGTTTTTCCCTCGTGATAGTTTTTTATGATTTCCTGAATATCGTCTTTATTAGTAACTATTGAAAGCCATTCAAAAAAAGCCAATTTTTTTATTAATTCTTAGAAATGAGTTGTTCGAATTAAATGAAATTTTCATAGTTTGTTGAGACCTTTATGAGGTATCTTTTGGACTGCTCAGAGTTGACCCAGTAATTCCAGGGACGTGCCACAGGTTTTGTAGGATGGTTTTTTTTTGCACGAAAAACATTGTCCAGTAGACTTATTTTCAATTAAGATATGTTTTTTCAATAGAACATTTAAAGATACAACTTTTTTATCTCCTTATTTTTTTCCGTATGCTGCTTAGTTTTCGAGATAAAATTTAAAAACCATTTTAGGCTAACCACGCACGGCACTGACCTCCATAAATAAAAAATAAATTGCCACAGAATTACCTGAAATTTTACCAGGCTATTTGTTGCTTAAAAATAAACAAAAAACTTTTTTTCTAAAACGCTCGCACTTCTGAGAATTAATGTAAAAATTGATTTTTTTCACAAAGTTTGACACCCTGTATACAGGGTGCCCCACGGTGGATGGCGTATCAGACGTTTATGGAGAACTAAAAAGCAGATCATTTCGAAAATTTGGCAACCGGGAGAAACGACCATAATCTACACTTAAAAAATATTTTTGTTTATGCGGTGTTGCCGCTTCTACTCTCAACCAGTGGCAACATCGCTATTTTAAATGAAACACCCTGTATGTGATTGCATATTTCGATTCTACGTAAAATTCTGAGCAGATTTCATGTGATACACCCTATACCTAAGTTCAACTGTTTTGGAAATATTGACAGTTGAAAATTGACTTTTTGCAACTTTGACAGGCTGTAAAACCTGAACGGTTAACACGAAGTAACACGGAGTAACATAATCTTTCATAAGGTTTAGAATGTAATTTTACAAAATTATTTTATGAGATTTGTACATGTATTCGTTTTTTCTTCTCAAATAATATAGTCATTTTTGTTTTTTTCTGGGGAATGTAATACAGATTTAATAATAATTTGGTGAACGCCGCACAGCAATTCAGGCGATAGGTATACGTACAATGTGATGTTGTGCGGCATTAGTATGAAGAGTAACCCTGTTTTATAGAAGATTTTATAATCAAATTCTTCAAGCTTAATTCGCCATCGAAGTAGTTTCGAATCCGGTTCTTTCAAAGAAAAGAGCCATTGAAGAGGCTTATGGTTTATATTGAATTTGCAACCATACAAATAAGGCCGGAAATATTTTGTTGCCCATACAATACAAAGAAGTTCCTTCTCGATGGTGGAATAATTTGCTTCGCTATCATTTAAAGTTCGGAAAGCATACGCTACAGGTAAATCATTTCCGATCATTTCCTTAGACAGGACTACACCAAGTGCGACATTACTAACGTCGGTAGTGAGACTGAAAGGTTTTGAAAAATCTGGGTACTGGAGGATGGGTTGATTTATTAGAAGATTTTCACAGGTTTCGAAGCATTTTGCAAGTTCGGGATTATGGTCAATAATAGCACTTTTCTTAAGACATTTGGTTTAAGGTTCAGTTAGTTTTGCGAAATTATTGACGAACCGTCTATAGTA